AATAAGTAATATTCTAAGATGGCAGTTTAAAAATCACGGAGAAATAAATCGTTCTGTAAACAATTAATATACAGTTTTTCAATGGTTGGAACTTAACTCTCCGGTCTGTCAAAACAATAATTTTTCAAAGACCTACAGTTCTGCAGCTAACCTAAGCACCAGTTGTCAGTGTACATTATAACTAAAGTAAAACCATGGATAAGTAGATGTATATGACATATTCAACAGATGCTCTGGCTCCCTCCCCAGTCTCTCCTCCAAAAATGACAGAACTCTTACCACTAAATTTTAGAACATCTGAAGATGAGTTCCCGGTGACTAGCTGTCCAATCAACTGTTCAAGATGTCCTAGTCTGTTTTTAATGTCGGCTATGTCATCATTCTGTTTTGTCTTATCAGTTGTTGAAAGCCCGCATACACAGATTATAACACACAAGAAAACGACAGTTGTTGTAGTGGGGTTCATATTGAACAGATGAATCCGAAGAAAGATGTGCTTTGCTTTTTATATCATACGTAGGTCGTAGTTAGAAATAAAAGGTCGAAGATTCCAAGCTTGTAGGGGTGGTTAGAATCAGAGGCACCCTATCATAGTGTTGCAGTTTTTGAGAGGAGGTACTGTATAACCTTGACCTCCTTCCAACAGTTCATTTATGGCGTGGTTATTAATTTATATTCAATTCATTTTATTGACAACACCATATACATTGGCATATAGTCATGAATACAACAATTAACATACATAAAATAAAATATCAATGAAAGCATATCAGGTTTGTTGAAGGTTTTCTTTCCTAATATCAAAGCACTTTTTCAAAAAGTTACAAACTCTCCTAGCAGTTCTAATACTTGTAGGATTGATAATGTCATTAATAGGGTTTTCCTTCATGTAACATTGTGCATTGAATATATCGTAATATTGTAATCTACATTGATCATAACTAGGACAATAAAGTACAAAATGGTTTTCATTTTCAATAAAAAATTTACAGAAATGACATACACGTTTTTCTCTAGGAATAGGTGGTCTTGAATATCTCCCCATTTCAATATGTAGTGTATGGGCACTAATTCTTAGTTTTGTTAGGATTGTTCTTTCAGATTTCTTCAATGGTAATTCAAGATAGTTTTGTAATTTATATAATATATATATATTAATATATATATATTAATATATATCTGGAGTACAAATGTTTTGCAGAGAAAGCCAGGCTATATTACACGTAATGATTTTTATTATTGTTTTCGTTATATTATGTATGAATACGGAACAACTATAAATAATCGCACGAGATTGACATGCCCCTGGCCTTTCACCTGGCAAAATTAACATTCAGGTTAAATTACCAAGAAATTAACCGAACTAACTTTCAAAGTGTTATCGAAGAGAAAATAATTTGAAATATAAATATTTACAGAAATGCGTTGATTAAAACAATCGACTCTATCACTTTTTATATTTTTATCAGTTGACTGTACAGTGTAGCACTGTATATAATTCAAAAGCCTGGTATAAACGTAATGACAAGAACAGTTGCAAATATTAACAAAAACTTGCATCTATTCTTCTTGAAACAACAATTACGGTGTATTATTAAGCCTAGATGCTAAATATAAATGTTATATATGAAGTAGGAGTAATGTTCTTACTTGCTTTCTCCCCTCTTTGGCTATTAACTATTATATGACAGCTGTTTTCACTGACAGAATTATACAAAAGTCTTCTATCCGAAATGTCTTGTGTTTTTAAATGATGTTTCTTGGAAAATCCACTTGTAGCATGTAAAGTTACCTATAATGAAGTTCGTATTTCTTTTCCTTTTGGTTTTGCGATCTTTCAATCACAAAAGTTCGTAAACTCGCTAAAATTTTATGATAATAAATGATACATGTCTTATGCAGAGCCGTATAACATTTAACAAACGACTTATTCTTAGTGTAGGCCTTTCAACTAATTTTTCAAGTTGCACATATGGTAAAAAACATTGTATAGATAGATTTATAGGTACATGAAATTATCAAGAAAAATAATAACTTATGCATACTTTTAATTACATCATTAAAAGGTTTAATCATTTATAATTGACTTTTCCGATGTTGTGTTTAAGGACAGGTAACTCAGGTGTGAAAAATGACCAACTTAGTGCCGATTTATGAGTTATCGTTTATAGGAATGACATATAGGCTGCTTCAGCATTGGCATTGTTATATACACAAAAGGGTTCCTTACATTGTTTTGTACACAAAAAGTTTTGACCAAGAGAAAGAGAATGCCTTCACTCTACCTGAAATAACAGGGTCAAATGAATGGGGAACAGACTATATTCAATAGGTTTAACTCTCTTTGACGATTATTTTGAAGAAGAAAATTTAATGTCATGTTTTTGTGTTCGCGCTTTTTCGCTTCCTGTGTAAATATATATATTTTTACAAGTAAATGCAACAATTGATCATCTTATTTGTGTTACTAAGCACGAAGGGGAACGACTGAGTATAAAAAATTAATTATGTTAGAACTGAGAAGGAGGGTAGATTTCACTTTTTATTTTAATTAAAACTTTTAATTATATGCAGTAAACCGGTGTCCGCAACTATACAGTAAATAAGTTTAACATTGGTGCTAAATTTTAAAACCACTGGATTCTACTGAGAGCAAAGAAACACTTGGGAAATGCTAAAAACTGCCTTGCATGTAACAGTAAGATACCCCGAGCCTGCTCTAAACAAGTTTCAGCAGTGAGTTATCGTTCATAACACCGACCCCTAGCGGCAGTTGAAAGGCCTACTTAGTGTCTTATAATAGATCTAATGCTTCTTTATAAATCGTATTTGAATTGTTTGAAAAATGTTAGAGACCTTATCAGATCTTAAATATACGTTTTTAAGTAATACATATACGTGTTCTTTTCTTTTTATGCCCCGCAATCAAATATTCGGGGGTGTATAGTATTAACCCTATCCACCCGTCTGTCCGTCTGTTAGTCCGCAAAAACTTTAACGTTGCCCATAACCTTTGATTGGTTGGAGCTATGGCTCTCATGTTTTACCTGTTTATTCCATTTGACAAGGCTTTTCTTTTGGCACTAACATGACCTCGAATTTGAAGTTTGCAAGAATTTACCCAACTTAACATAGGCCATAATTTTGAGCAGTCGGTGTTCGGGCTTTCATACTTCTGATATGTATTGTGACAAGATTTTTCCATAGATATAATCATTTTTGACCATGGATTTTGAGTTAGACCCACTTTAAAAACTTTATTCTTGACCATTACTTTTGAACAGTTAAATAGGGCCTTCGAATTTCACAAGCATATCACATGTGACAAGGCATTCCTTTTAGATACCAAAATTTTGACCTTATGATATTGACATTGGGGATTGAATTTCTTTATAAAAATTAACCTTGGCCATATTTTTTGAACAGGGCCTTTATATTTCATATGTGTATTTCTTATGTCATGGCCTTCCCTGGGTACTAGTATCTTTGATTGACCCTTTGATCTTCATCTTGGAGTTTAAATGGCCCACATTTAAAAAACTTTAATTTTCAATGGTTGTGTTTGGCCTTCCATATTCCACGGGTATATTCACTGAGTCGTTTGGGTAACAGCATTTTTCCATTTCTTGACCTTGGAGTTGCATTTGAGAAACTTCAATCTTGCTAAAAGTTGTGATATATCAATATTTCACACAAACACGTCTTGTTTTCTGGTAGTACTGTGGTATTTTTTTCTGAGTACTTCATATTGCTTTATTGGCTAGAAATGATGCATTTATTCTAATATTCATTAATCTTAAAATACATAATAAAGATATATCCTCAAATTTTTGATTATAATTTCTTTTTTTTTATTATATCTCCTTTTGGTTAAAAAAATGAAACCTGAATGGTTTCTCCGTATTAAAAGTAAATTTATTTTGAAATTCGTCATTAAAAATAAATGTAAAGTGATCTATGACCTTTTCTGTTAAGCTTTTTTATCAGAGACTATACCTGCTATGTATATAAATATGATATTTATCGCATACCAATAAAAAGCCCTCATTCTGATCACAGCATTGAAACAAAAGATCTTTAGAAATAAATGAAAGAGGTATATTAGAAAGAAAATATCAATTGGTAGTGGACACCTTATTTTGTCCAAACCATTTTAAGGGAACATGGTATCTACAGAAAATCTCGATTTTCAACCATCACGCAATTGGCCCCTGGATGAAAATGACAACTACTCCTAAACCTTATTGAACGTCTTCAGACAGATAAGTCGGATACTTCGTAAGAGGATTTCTAAGAACATCGTTCTTTCTTAAATAAAACAAATAATTAAAAATAAATGCTATTTCATATATTCATCTTAAAAATATTTGATGTAGCTTTCTCCATAATTTAAATGTGTTCTTTGTGTTCTCTCTGCTTTCTTTGTTAGCTGCAGAACTGTAGCGTTATGATTTTGTATAATAAATATCAACGACTGATATATAAAACCATTCAACGCTACAACAGTTCTGTGTGTTTGTTGCTGTAGTTTTTCAACAGGTATATGTCTCTCACTTATTTTATTATTTTACATTTATTTTCCTTTCAAATTTGAACTATGACGACTTTTTATAGCTGTACCTCATGCACCACTGATTGTTGGTATGAGCATAAAAAATGAACTTGTGAAGATGAGGATCGCATCATGCTCAAAAGTCAAAAGGATCAATGCAAATTGTGGGCAGACAAACCTCTAAAAACATCAGAGGTGAGATCAGGTGTCATGGAGAAGTAAGCATCCCTGTCGACTGGTCACACCCGTTTGCCTATTACCATGATCAGGTAAACGGGGAAATCTGTAGTCAGAAATGTGCGTGAAAACAACGGCCTTACAATTTGTATAAAAAACGTCAGTCAACATTCGACCGAAAGACATACTGATTTGCAAAAAAGGTCATTGTATGACGTTTGTAAAGCATAAACAACAAATGGAGATTGTTCTTTTAAAGAGAGCATGATAGTTTTGTCCAGAGAAAAATGACGTTGTCAAATTTATTCAGCTTGAATACAAATTCTAAATGTCTTGTATATGGACACCAATGCAGTAAATTTGAATTACTTGTATTAAAATAACACTCCTCACATACAAAATATCATATTAAAGTCAGAAGCGCAAAATGTATAAATACACATGTACCATTAAAATTAAAAAAAACTTCCTGAGCTATCACTACTATGTAACAATATTTTTTCCATGAAAAGCATTGTGTAAATTTTTGCAATATCAATGGATTGCTCAGTACGTGAAATAAAATGTTTTGCATTCTGTGGAATAGTTATGAAACGAACTGCTACATTTTCGTCAAATCTTCCTTCTTTGTAGTGAAGTCAGTCGAAGGAGTTCTTTTTATTCTTTTCTCCCTCTTGATTTGCTTCAATGGACGGCTCTATATTATTCATCAAAAAATCATCAGCAAAGCGAAGAATAACGCTTAGAGCATGAAGACTGAGAATCGTCACATTCTGGTGTAGATCCATCTCACATTCGTAATTCTTTAAAGGCATCACGTGACCACGTGGTAAACCAATCAACTTTGCTACATCGTCGACATGTTTCTGGATGGCTTTGCAGTGGAACAATTTGGACAGGTCTTTCTCCACAATTTCGCTTACTTTATCTACATTGGTGAGCAAAACAACTTGTGGAATGTCTAAAGAAGAAAAAAAAGGTCTTTCATTATATTCCAAAGTGCATTCATATTGGTTTTGTTTCGTTTCAAACTTCAAGGATTTGCAACAATGATTTTTTTTTACTCTGGGGAAATTATATCATATAGATATGTGAATTTAGAGTTTATCTTTTAAATTTTCATCATAGGGAACTGTCATTAACCCCCCCCCCGGAAAAATCTATTTAAAGAAATGAAGTGTCGTTGAAATTATAATAAACTGAAGTACACACAAATAAAGTGTTCAATTATTTCCATCTAGGCCATATTAACTTTTTAGAATGCTTCAAATGATTACAAATTGAGTAAAAACTTAAGATAATAATTTAATTTTAAATCTAAGACAAGATCACTGTAATTTTAACTGTATACGAATATTTTGAGTGAGCAGTCATGAGTGTACTAAGGATTAAACTTTTTTTCAAAACATTTTGATCATGTACAACTCCAGTACTAGTAAGACTAGTAAGAAGCTTTTTTCTCTTTCATATCGTTCTGAGAAACCGAATCTTCAAAACGTTTTTTTTTTCTCCTCCGTGGCTATACCAGAAATGTATTCTACATGATATGATACTATAAGAGGCAGTTTTCACAATTATGAATAAGCTCTGTTTTACCTCTTTGATTCATTTTGGAGCGAAGATTTTTTATTTTAGCAATTAGATCATCGCTCATGTCTTCAAAGGAACTTGCGTCCACTACAAATGCAACAACGTGAATCATGTCCCTCACTCCTGGATTTTTGTTAAAACCTGGAACTGCAGAAGTGGCTTGGCAGGACGGATTAAACTTAAAAAAGACATTAAAACAATAATCTGTACTTTGCACAAAAATATTATTAGTTTTAGAATATTTTAATATATGAAGGAAGCGTTTCGTTTTGAGTTTGAAGTATAGAATAAATACTGTATATTTGTCAGGCAAATTCCCATCCAAAATGTAGCAGAGTTCTTGTGAGTCGATGCCTTGATCTTCCTCTAGTCCTCGGGTGTCATACAAATTAAAATTAAGTGGTTTTCTGGACAACTGGCTTCTCACTCGGTAAATCCTGAGCTATTCAATACAAGTACATATTATTGATAAATGTATAAGTTAGGCCTTTCAACTAATTTTTCAAGTTGCACATATGGTAAAAAAACATTGCATAGATAGATTTATGGGTACATGAAACTATCAAAAAAGATAATAACTTATGCATACATTTAATTACATCATTAAAAGTTTAATTATTTATAATTGACTTTTTCGATGTTGTGTTTTAAGGATAGGTAACTCAGGTGTGAAAAATGACCAACTAAGTGCCGATTTATGAGTTATCGTTTATAGGAATGACATATAGGCTGCTTCAGCATTGGTATTGTTATGTACACAAAAGGGTTCCTTACATTGTTTTGTACACAAAAGTGTTGACCATGAGAAAGAGAATGCCTTCATTCTACCTGAAATAACAGGGTCAAATAGATGGGGAACAGACTATATTCAATATTTTTAACTCTCTTTGGCGATTATTATGAAGAAGAAAATTTCATGCCATGTTTTTTGTTTTCGCGCTTTTTCGCTTCCTATGTAAATATATATATTTTTACAAGTAAATGCAGCAATTGATCATCTTACTTGTGTTACTAAGCACGAAAGGGAACGACCAAGTATAAAAATTTAATTAGGTTAGAACTAAGGAGGAGGGTAGATTTCACTTTTTACTTTAATTAAAACTTTTAATTATATGCAGTGAAACGGTGTCCGCAACTATACAGTAAATAAGTTTAACATTGGTGCTACATTTTAAAACCACTGGATTCTACGGTGAGCAAAGAAACACTTTGGAAATGCTTAAAACTGCCTTGTGTGTAAACAGTTAGATACACCCAGCCTGCTCTCAACATGTTTCAACAGTGAGTTATCGTTCATAAAACCGACCTCTAGCGGCAGTTGAAAGGCCTATATAAGTTGTCAACAGTCTCTGATGAGACAGTGACTCTACTTGTCTGTAAATGAAAAGTAACACTTGGATTTTAAACTTTTTAACAGGTAACAAACTAGCAATAAATAGAATTATAAATGTATCGTAATGTAGTCTACATGTGTGCCAAGTTATATTGATGTAGAAAGAGTAGCATTTTGAAAGTATTTCTAAGAAATTTCCATTTTTAGTTACCATGACAACAACATTCACTGAAACACAAAAATCTATATACTAATATATCATTGTGCATCGTAGTGTAGTATAATTGTGTGTCAAATTAAATTAGATTAAAATCAAACAAAAACTGAAGGTGTAGTAGCGTTTTAAAGGAATAGAAATTATCATTCTTAGTAACCACGGAGACACTGGTCATCGAAATCGAAATCCGATGCACTAAATTACATCTTACATCTTAGTGTACTGTACTAAATGTGTGCCAAGTTATATTGAAATCAAACCAAAAACTGGAGGAGAAGTGTAGTCTACTTGTGTGCCAAGTTATATTGAAATCAGATAAAAATTGTAGAAGTAGCATTTAGAAAGTTTTTCAAAGAAATTTCTATTTTTAGTAACCTTGGCAAAACCGTTCATTGAAATAAAAAACAAGTTGTGTTTGTGAAACACTATGCGCCCGCTGGCAACAAAGTTCCAAAAAACTATTTTAGCATATAGGTCATAGTCAAGGTCACAAGGTCAATTGGTGTCATTTGAAAGAGCTTAATCAGTATTGCATGCATACCAAATATGAGGTCTCTATCTCTCATGGTTCAAAAGTTATGGCCAAATTTCGAAAAAAGCTATTTTTAGCATATAGGCCACAGCCAAGGTCACAAGGTCAATGACCTTGGTGTTAATTGGAAGAACTTCATTAGTGGAGTAAGCATATCAAATATGAAGTCTATATCTTTCATGGTTCAATAGTTATTGCAAAAGTTCGAAAAAGCTATTTTAGCAAAAAAGTCACAGTCAAGGTCATAAGGTCATTGACCTTAATGTCATTTGATAGAACCTTTTTAGTGGAGTATGCATACCTAATATGAAGTCTCTGTCTCTCATTGGTCAAAAGTTATGGCAAAGGTTAAAGTTGACAACAGACAGACAGACAAACAGACACACAGACAGGACAAAAACAATATACGCCTCGGATCTATCGATCCGGGCGCATTAAGATTGATACACTTAATTATGTAACTTAGGGTGTGTACTTGTGTGCCACGTTATACTGGTACTAACATTAGACCAAAACTGTAGGAGGAGTAGAGATGTAAAAGTATTCCAAAGAAATTTGAATTTTTAGTAACCACCGCAACACCGTTCATCGAAATCAAAAACCGATAAAAAGAAATATGTATCTTAATTAAAAGAATTTCAAAGAAATTTCTTTTTTTGGAAACCATGGCAACACCGTTTATTGAAATCATGCACTAATTTACGTATCTTAGTGTACAAAAACCGATAAAAAGAATTATGTATCTTAGTATAGTCTATTTGTGTGCCAAGTTATACTGAAATCAGACCAAAACTGTAGGAGAAGTAGTGTTTAAAAGAATTTCACAGAAATTTCTTTTTTTAGAAACCATAGCAACACCGTTTATTGAAATCATGCACTAATTTACGTATCTTAGTGTTGTCTACTTGTGTGCCAAGTTATACTGAAATCAGACCAAAACTGTGGGAGAAGTAGCGGTTTTAAAATTGTTTAAAGACAGACAGACGGACGGACACCTTACTATCGCATAAATTCTTCTGGTTTCTGACCAGTAGAGCTAAAAATAACCTAATGTTTACAAACATAAAAATGTGCCTTTTAAGTTTTAAATTTTGATTTAAGTTATATCTGATTTTGCCTAAAATGTATAAAAGATATAGATACAACTTGAACACATGGTGATTTGACTCTATGTCTGCACAAGGGAAAAGATTGATAGAGAGGGATATATAAAATACAAAACATTAAAGAGACCGAGGTTGTGAGGCTATGGTCTGATATCCCCGTAATAGCAGGACTGGTGATGTTTCCTCTGAAAATCGAGTTGATTGTGTTGATGAAGCTTGACTTTCCGGCTCCGATTTTTCCAATCAACAGAATGTTTGCCATTGGAATATTTGTCTCCTCCACTGGTCTGTAATTCTCCACTTCATCTTTCAGCTTCTCTAGGGTCTGAAATGAAGTATGCATATGATAATACGTAAATCTTTAAATTATTTTCTGAATGTAAGGTCTTACTGTATTTTTCATATCAAGGGAATTGGCACAATCTGGACATATCCTGTCCTCCTACTTACTGATCATCCCTATACTACATATAAAGAACATAAGGGAGGATTCAAATTTATCAAAATAATGTTTCGCTTCCTCAGATTTCCATTCTTCTCAATAAAATTTTATCGGATGTACCTTTTCATACTCATATCACTGTTAGATCACATGTAGTCGAAAAGTATAAACTTCGAAATAGTTATTCAATCTTGAAGTACAGATGAGAAAAAATTATATATATATATATATATTTATATTCATCTTTTCAATGTAAATATAACCTATAACCAAAACTATTTTTAATGAAGAATGAAGTGTAGTCATACTATATTTTTTTCGTTTAGAAGCTGTTCTTCAACAACAGTTTGTTATTGTTTAGAACCTTACCTTAAATTTGCAACAAACCCAGAAAAAAATCCATGATTTTCGTAATTATTATACAGGAGAACTAATGATACCGAAATATCATTATATATTTTGAATTACTGATACATGTATAAATCCAAAGATTTAAATTACAGAATATTTGTAAAAAGAAATTATTTAAGATAACACTACTCGTATAAATACCAACCAATGTGCTAAGTCTTTTTAGTTTTTAAGCATTGAAAGTATTCAGAATATACCTTTGTATCCCATTCGGAAAATTCTCTCCATGGTGTATCCATGATATTAGAGTCTGATCCATCTACAAGAAAATAAAACCTCTCACTAAAAAGTATCTTTTTAAACAGAATATCAATGCTGAAGGCATCTTGTAATTATGAAAATCAAGGAAATCAATATTATTTTTTCAACTTTTTTTGGCCAAGCTTTTAGTTTGCATGGACCTTCGCCACTACATTCTAGGCAACAGACCAGACGTATTTCATAGCAGTTTTGATTTCTTTCTTTACAATTACATGTAGTTATAAACTTCAAATTAACCATGTAGCATTGTTAATATAGAGTACATGTAGTTTATTAGTAATGCTTCTCTGTATAATTCCTTTGTTTTTATGACTTCCTAACCTTTTTCGTTATTTTGAGGAAGGGACAGGTCGTCCCTGGGAGAGAGAGACAGAGGGATAGCATTATACTTACCTTCAAACTGGTACACTTCTAAATCAATGGTATTCATATGACCGTCATTGAAATCTGCATCATTGTCAGTATATTGGTAACTGCTGCCAAGGTCACAGCGACCGTTTAACTTGTATACTTTGGTGTTAAGCTGGTTTGAATTGTCTTTGAAGGTTAGGAAGTCGGGTCCGCTTCCAAATGTTGGTCCTTGGTTGTATATACAATATATTGCTTTACTACCGTTTCCTGTGTGTTGGTAATATTTATGTGATTCTGTTCCTCTATATCGCAGCTGGAACAGGAATGCTTTTGGGTCAGTTCCGTAGAAGCCGTTACCCGGGCTTGTCCAGCTTTGCGATGTATAGCCCCCAAATACGGTGTAATCGGTGTTGTAGAGAACAGTGACAGTGGGGCCTTTGTGGTCACATTTGGTATGAAAGGTTGTGGCATTCCATCCATCTCTGCTCAATTTGTATAACAACGTAAATTTTCCTTTTCTTTTCTGACATATCCATTCCTGGAGTTGTACTTTTTCTTCACTTGTAAGCATAATCTTATCCATTTCTGCAATATTCTACAGTCTTTAAAATGATGTATGAGTTCTGCGAAAGAGAAATCGAAACTAGGCTTTGTATTGAAAATTATCGATCGACCTTTAAAAGATCAAAGAACAGGACAAACAGACAGAGAGAACAAGTACGTTAGGACTAGTGCTTTCATACTTTACATATTTAAACCTTGTGACAACATCTTTCACTTGATAGCACGACCTTAAACCTTGACCCTGGAGTTTGACCTATTTTTTTTAATTTAATCTTGACCATAACTTCTGAACGGTTAGGGCTAGGGCTTCCATACTTTACATATGTATTTTTGTGTCAAGACCTTCATTTTATACCTTGACCTTGAAGATTTCTGAAAAAAATTAACCTTGGCCTACTTTCATATTTCACAAATGAATTTTCAGTGAGGATACCCTACTTTTGGTACCAATACATTAAATTTACTTGTAAGAAAAGTTTTATCTTCATTATGTTGCCATACGGGAGCATCAGTGTTTCACAAACATATCTTGTTTATCTATTGTGCTTGTGTCCTTTTCCCATTACTTTATGGTCTAATTTAAGAGATAAACTTTGTAACACTTGTAGTTTGATAATTAAATTTACAAATCATATTTGGATATAACAGTTCTGGTGGAACTGTTTTCAGAACGTTGAACATAATTATTCTGGTTGCATAGCAATATATAATATTTAATTCCGTGTATTATGCGCCCGAATTTTTTCGGGGCGCATATTGTTTTTGTCCTGTCTGTTTGTCTGTTTATCTGTTTGTCTGTTTGTCTGTTGTCAACTTTAACCTTCGCCAAAACTTTTGAACCGTAAGAGATAGAGACTTCATATTTGGTATGCATACTTCTCTAATAAAGTTCTTTCAAATGACATCAAGGTCAATGACCTTGTGACCTTGACTGTGACCTATATGCTAAAAATAGGTTTTTCAACTGTTTGTCATAACTTTTGAAACATGAGAGATAGAGACTTCATATTTGGTATGCATACTCCTCTAATAAAGTTCTTTCAAAGGTCAATGACCTTGTGACCTTGACTGTGACCTATATGCTAAAAATAGGTTTTTCAACTGTTTGTCATAACTTTTGAACCATAAGAGATAGAGACTTCATATTTGGTATGCATACACCACTAATAAGGTTCCTTCAAATGACATCAAGGTCAATGACCTTGTGACCTTGACTGTGACCTTTATGCTAAAAATAGCTTTTTCCACTTTTTGCCATAACTTTTGAACCATAGGAGATAGGGACTTTATATTTAGCATGCATACTCCACTAATAAAGTTCTTTCAAACAACACCAAGGTCAATGACCATGTGACCTTGACTGTGACCTTTATGCTAAAAATAGCTTTTTCCACTTTTTGCCATAACTTTTGAACCATAGGAGATAGGGACTTCATATTTAGTATGCATACCCCACTAATTAAGTTCTTACAAACAACACCAAGGTCAATGACCTTGTGACCTTGACTGTGACCTATATATAAAAAATAGCTTTTTAGAACTTTGTTGACGCCGGGCGCATAGTGTTTCACAAACACATCTTGTTTTTCCTTATGAAATTCATTAGAAATCCACGACATTCAAATTTCTATATTTACATTTGCAAATGTCTTTCCTTATATGACAATACAAAAAAAATGAAATTCAATTTTCGATGACATGCAGTCGGTCACATGATCTGACTTTCTTGCGTATGGAAAGCAAACTGCACGATACATTTGGAAATTCTTGACTGTGACGTCATATGACGTCGTATTTAAACGTTATGTTGCACTCAATAACAAACTCTAAATACGACATTTTATCTTTGTAATGTGAATAGAAATAAAAATATAAATATAAGAAATAAAATATCATTTTTAGAGTGTCAATGGGATATGACATGAAGTCGGTACGTGATCAAATCTACTATAACGCCCTTCGGGCGTTATAGAATTTGATCACGTGACCGACTTCATGTCATATCCCAATGACACTCTAAAAATGATATTTTATTTCTTAAATAACACACGCGAAACCTTGTCACATCGCGTTAGAATACACAGTAGGAACTACATTGTATATGCATTTTTCTATAATCTGGGAACACCAAAATGTACAATGTTTTGACTCAATTTAATTAAAAACTATAATCCTGTTAAATTAACGTAAAAATACTACAAATGTGCGTTTAAAATTAATTTGTCACTTTTTTTCCTCGCAATGTTTGTTTGCGTTATTTAACTTTGCAACGTCATCTGACGTCACAAACGGCTCTTACGTCTATTAACCGCGTCAGTTTTGAAGGGCGCTAAATTCACATTCAAGATTAACGAAATAAGCAATTATGAAGAATGAAAATTAGAGAATGTAAATATAAGCATTGAATTCATATTTTTGTCTGTGCCGACAAATTTATCATACCGCGCTAGCGCGCGGTATTCAATTTGTCGGCACGGCCAGGTGTGTTAAAGGACCGAAGACAGACAAAAATATGAATTCAATGCTTAAATGAATTGTAAAGGAAAAAAATTATAACACCATCTTTTCTTGCTTATTTTTAAGTACTTAGATATTTCAGAACTATGGAGCTCTTTTCCTCTCTCTCTCTCTCTCTCTCTCTCTCTCTCTCTCTCTCTCATAAGAAAGCAGACTGTACATGTTTTAAAAGTCTGTGTATTGATTAACTTACATAAAAACTCTATGAAAAAAAAAACTTAATAAAGATTAACTTAAAATTCTAGTACAAGTAATTAGGAGCAGATAGTTACAGAAATGTATACATTAACCCTTTCGCTGCCAACGTAAATTTTTAAATTGCCAAAAACACGTAACGTCACATGTAAATGACGTTACAATAGTTGTGACGTTATCAAAAAATTGCGGGTTTACGTTGTATCAATGACGTTAATCGCACCTGCGTTATGTATAATTTTAACAAACTTTATCAAGGCGAGAAAGATCCTGTTTCAGCGCATGATCTGAGACAAAGTATTTTTTTAAAAAATCGGCCCTGTGGCACAGAAGTGGTTAATAACAATAGACTCATTGAATATTATAAGAAATGTATATTTTATTGTCAGTTGACTCTAGACTTTTGGTCTCAATATTCAACGTTTTAAAAATTGCCCGGGTCAACCCAGGTCAACGATACAGTTCTCTACTTAATGCCCTAAGACTAGAGATTCTAACGGAATTTTGTTATTATCGTCTACATTCTTCAGAAGGTTAATCACTAATCAGTGGGAAAATAATAATTTTGGTTTGATGGGATAGGCTAAGTGGGAATAAACCTGACCTGCCCAAATTATATTTCCTTTTCATAGAGGGGATATATGCTCATCTATTATCTAAATTTTTTCTGCTTGTATTTTTTTTTATAACTATCCATTACTTTTAAAAACTGGTAAAATTCGTTTGACTGATTTGACTGAAAAAATCACTTGAATTATTTGACTGATTGATGTACGTCTTTACCAGAGTACACCAGACTGACCGAACGTATTTAATAGGGTCCAGAATTATTTCAACTTTGTTTTTTAGTTTACCTAAGCAAAGGAATCAAGTGAGCTTTCTGATCAAAGAGTGTCCCAAGTCCGTCTGTCGTGTGTCACAGGTACCAGAGCATGCTCTACGTATAATCATTTCTAAAATGGGGTAAACTACTGACAAACAAGTTGATGAAACAAGAACATCAGCAGTCTCGTTTAAAGTCATCATTTCGTAAGTTCTCCTTTTTGTATGGTCGATACAATGACCTTGTCAGTAAATACAACTTATCATTGAGTTAAATGGTGACTGACGTTTTTCATACTAATTGTTAGGCTATGATATACACTGGATTGTCTTTAGATCTGGAGTTTTGCACTTTGAATGTTTATTAAGTTTTCTTTCTATCAAATTCACTAAGACCTTCATGCTTTCATTTTTTCTCTGGTTACATGTATTTCTCGCTGAGATTAAAGGATAAACAATTGAAGAGAACTATGAAGCGTTTACGCTGTAACAAGAAGTGTTGCTTTTTAATATATTCGATCAGTGCTTACTATTAGTTCAAGATATATTACTGTAGTCAGCGGCGAGTCACACAAATTGTTCCGACGAAAATAGTTCAATCATTGATAAGTAGATACAACATAATTGTTCATGATAAGAATAATGTTGTGTATGTCATACGTAAAAGAAACCAAAATTAATGTTAATTTTTCCTCCAAAGATCACTTTCTCCCCTAAATGCAAATAAAAATGTTAATATTCCTACTCTCGCTCCCTCCTCAGCTTTTTTTTTTTAAACATGTTTGATAACAGAGAATATCTAGGTCATTCTTCGGTTGATATTTTTTCACTGATGAATTGATTATACTATATCAACAACTGTAGAAAAATCATGTTAATTGTTCGTTAATTATCATAAAGTTTCCTCTTAGAGAAAAAAAATAATCATTCTGTGTGTGTAGTATATCAATTGACGGAATTTTCAGTCCCTAAACAGATCCCTTCACGTGTGTAGACAAACTACACATAAGGAGAGTACCTATAAAATGTGTAACAAAACCCGAACTGGGCCGGGGATTTCTAAACTGACAATCGTTTAATTTTTATTAATCAGAATTTGTATTCATGTGATCTAATTATGAAAAAAAGTTCTGTCTGCCATCGTAACTTCTCTGTTCGCGGGAGTCCGTTTGACAACTCCATCGCACGTGTGTATAGACCAAGGCTAGCTGGTCTTGCGGACATAGGTATTTGTACTGTTTGTTTGCATGGTTAGGAGACTGGGTGACGGTAATGCTACGGACTCACGAAATTTACACAAGTTCTATAACTAGACAGTGCAGTTTTATTCTTATAAATGCATTACACACTGTTAAACATATTAAATCTAAAAGTCGAATATCTTTGGATATGGGGTAACCCATATCTATTCTTGTTTATTAATAGTATTGAGATGCTCTCATACTCTATATTCACAAAGTATAAAATATCAGTGCGTAATAAGCCAGATCAAAGCTTTAGTATACTCCTTTCCTATGATACCGGTGGCTCTACTGTACCGGGGCATTTCTATTTT